TTTCCTTCTCCTCTGTTATTGTAATGACCTTTTGCTTTCTTCATGGATGATATCCTTGATATCATCCCCCAACTCATCTGGTCTTCTGTCATTGGTGTTCAATGCCTCAAACCTATTCTTAAAATGATTATGAAACTCAGATGGAATTGACTTATGATTGTTTCTTGGTTCCTGTGGACTTCTTCGGCCTCAATTTGAACATGCATATGAGTAACTGATGATCTAACGCACAGTCTTCCCCTGGCCTACTTTTGACTGCCGATATTGAGCTTCCCAACAAATGTAGTTAATCTGATCCCTATGCAGCTCATCCGGTGAAATCCATGTGTAAAACTGTCTATTGTGTCTTTTAGAAAAAGTATTTGCAATGAATAAATCCTTGTAAATACAAAAATCATTATAAATACCATTGGACCAAGAGGCAGTGTCATGATGGATAATCACTCACATAACTGATAGTTGATGCTAGCAAGTTCAGTCAGGAATTTCAATTTCACTCCATATAAGAAATTCTATGTGGTAAAGGCTTTCCTCACAACATGGTGGCTGATTCCGAGGACGAATACATAGAGAAAGAAAGTAAGCCAAACACAAGTTGTGCTGCCTTTCATAATCTAATAAAAAAGTCATGCAGTTTCTTTTCTACCACATTATATTGATTGAGGTAGTTTAAAGGCTTACTTGGGTTTCTGGGAAAAGAAAACAAACTACCTCTCATTGGAGAAATGTTACTAATTTGTAAGCAAAAAATCATTTGGGATGATGGGATGTGTATTGGAAAAGCTTTGTGAAATACAAGCTGTTACACAGAAATACAATCTGCCACATAAGAGAGCAGGTAGTTGCAGAGTGTAAGAACAGGAGTTGGATGAGGATGATGTACATGTGGCAAGGCAGACAGCTTTTAATGTTGGGGAGGCAGCATGGTGGGGAGGCGGCAGCCCCTCACAGGGTGACCAAATTAGCAAGCATGGGGTTCCTGAATCTAAGCAGGAAAAAGAAAACATGTAGCAAGCACTTGGTAAGGCAGTGGCCCAGTATCTGATGTTGATGTAGAAAGGCGGTGAGAGGGTAATAGCGATTGGCTACTTTCAAGAGGATTATTTGAGTAATGAAAATCAGGTTTCTTACTAGTAGAACAATGAGCTTCAAATATGAAACAATATAAAACTAGAAGACGCAACCTTGTCATGTCAAATCAGAACAGAAGAAATGAATATATTCCCTTGTTCTGTCCACTGAGACATCCTGAGAACCAGTGAACCAGAAAAGTGATGAGCACACATACCAACCAAATTCTGGTCTCCAAATATTAATATCCACTGAAAGAAACCAGGGCTCCCTAAAGAAATGGCTGATTCCAGGTATTAGACAGGGAAAATACAAAATAACACTGGAATACCATTGTCCCAGAAAGTAGGAAAGTGTTTAAAAGTAGTATGAAAACATGTCAAAATGACACATAACCGAGCATGAAAGTAAGAGCTCTTACTGGGCCAACTGTGTGAGGTTGACCATCAAAATAATGAATGGTGGATTATAACCCAGTGGGAAAAAAACAACACAGGAATTCATGAGTTCACACTGATGTTAATTAAGTGAATAGATGCAAAGTTTGACAAGGAATAGAAACATTTGATAATCTCAAAGCACTTTTCCACAAAGTATATTATAAATGAAGGAAAACTGAAAAATTAAAGTGGAAGACACCACTTAATTAATTAAAGTCTCACTAAGGAGGATAGAAGGAGAATTGATGCCTTTGAGCTGTGGTGCTGGAGAAGACTATTGAGGGTACCATGGACTGCTAGGAAAACAAACAGATTCATCCTGGAAAGGGTTAAACTGGGCAGCTCCTTGGAGGCAAGGATTCTGGGGTTTTGTCTAACATACTTTGGACATGTTGTAAGGAGGTACAGGTCCTTGGAAGACATCATGCTTGGGAGGGTGCAGGGACAGCGCAGGAGGGGAAGGCCCTCTATAAGGTGGATTGATTCAGTGACTGGGGCAATCAGGATGGGAGTGTCAGAGACAGTGCGATTAGCACAGGACAGAGCAGAGTTTAGGGCTGTTGTACATAGGGTATGAGTCGCATGCAACTCAACGGCACATAACAACAATACAATCCATGGTCTTTGCAATCCCTTGTTATGCATCAGAGAGTTGAACAATGACTAGGGAGGATAGAAGGAGAATTGATGCCTTTGAGCTGCGGTGCTTGTGAAGAATATTGAGGGTACCATGGACTGTTAAGAAAACAGATTCACCCTGGAGAGGGTTAAACCGGGCTGCTCCTTGGAGGCAAGGATTCTGAAGCTTCATCTGACATATTCTGGTCATGTTGTAAGGAGAGACAGGTCTTTGGAGAAGGACATCATGCTTGGGAGGGTGGAGGACAGGTGCAGGAGGGGAAGGCCCTCTATGAGGTGGACTGATTCAGTCACTGGGGTAATAGGGATGGGTATGTCGGAGACAGTGAGATTGGCACAGGACAGACCAGAGTTTAGGGCTGTTGTACATAGGGTCGCTATGAGTCGCAAGCAACTCGACGGCACATAACAACAGCATCATTCATACGGGTAACATTATGGCTAACTGAGAAGAATAGGAATCCTAGAGCACTCGATTGTGTTCATGCAAACCTATACCTGGACCAGGAGGCTGTTGTACGAACGGAGAAGGGGAACACTGCACAGTTTAAAATTAAGAAGGGAGGGCATCAGAATTCTGTCTCTCTCCATACCTATTTAATCTATATGCTGAGCAAATTATTCAAGAAGTCGGAGGCAAGGATGATGAGGCTTCACCTCAAATACTTCAGGCAAGTTGCTAGGAAGAGCTGTTCCTTGGGGAGGGGCATGATGCTCAGAGAGGTAGAGGGTTGGTAAAGAAGAGGTAGATATCAGATAAAGTGGACTGGCACAGTGACTGCGCAATGGGCTTTGATGTGTCAGGAAAGATGAAGATGGTGCAGGGTTCAAACCTATTGTTCACAGAATCGCTCTACGGGTCATATTTGACTCAAAGATACCTAACAACAACATCATTAGATAGACAGAATACAATGGAAAAAAAACAAGCTCTTTTGTGGTATCACAGATTTAAGAATGCAGAGACTAAAGAAATACAATAATGTGATAAGAAGTTTTGCTACAAAGGGTATTATTAGATGACTACAACAATTTGAATGAAATCTGATGATTAAATCTGATGATTTAATGGTAGTCATCTGTCACTGACTTCCTAATTTTGATGGCTACATTCTAGTTACTTAGGAGAATTTGCTTGTTTGTAAGAAACACTAAATATTTGGTGTATGTGGTATCAAGTTTCTTGGTGACTTAATATCAAGTGAAAAGGAAAAGCAGGTACTTTTATTGTACCTAAACTTTTCTGTAAGCCTGAGATTGTTTCAAAGTTTAAAACAGTACTAAATTTATGTAACAATTATAATTTTTATCTCAAAACTGTATGTTCATTATGTAAAGACACAGCCTTAGGAAAAAATAATACATTTTGAAGAAATTATCTACTCAAATATTGATTATATTGGCAACAAAATAAAAGAATGTATATGACTTTTGCATTTAAACTAATATGCTGTTCTGGTTGTTTTGTGCCGTCGAGTCACTTGCTATGACTCATAGTGTGACCCTATGTACAACAGTCCTAAACCCTGCTCTATCCTATGCCAATCACACTGCCTCTGACACACCCATTCCCATTACCCCAGTCACTGAATCAAACTACCTCATAGAGGGTCTTCCCCTCTTGGGCCGTTCCTCCACCCTCCCAAGCTGATGTCCCTCTCCAAGGGCCTGTCCCTCTTTACAACATGCCCAAAGTATGTCAAACGAAGCTCCAGAATCCTTGCCTCCAAGGAGCAGCCTGGTTGAACCCTCGCCAGGATGATTCTGTTTTCTTGGCAGTCCATGGTACATTCAATACTCTTCTTCAGCACCACAGCTCAAAGGCATCAATTCTCCTTCTATCTTCCCTAGTCATTGTCCAACTCTCTGATGCATAACAAGTGAATGCAACGACCATAGCCTGTATCAGATGCACCTTAGTCTCCAGAGTGACACCACTGCTCTTCAGTACCCTGGAGCGGTCCCTAACAGCAGACTCTCCCATTGCAATATAAATAACATTTTTTAAAAAATTTTTAAAAAGATCAATGATATTTAAAGATTAACAGGAAAACTTGGGGAATGAAGTCACCTCATGGCAATAAATGTAAAAATCCCCTATTCCTCACAAAGTTAATTATAGTTACCATATAACCCAGCAATATACACAAGAGGAGTGAAAGTATTCTCACAGAAAAAAATTACCCACAAGTCTTTACTGTGCTGTTGTTAGGTGCCACTGAATTGCTGCTTCATAGCAACCTTATAAACAAGGCATCCGATCTATTCTATCTTGTGCCTGCCCCTATTCAAAGTGGAAACAACTCCAATGTCAGTCACTTGAGGAAATGACAAACAAAACATAGTATACCATGCAACAGAGTATCATTTGGTCATTAAAAAAAATCATGTTAAGTACTGAACATTTTACACCATGATGACTTTGAAAACTATCCTAAATGAAAGGAGCAAAGCACATTTTGACCAAGATAACATATTAGAGGTGATTAGTGGATGAAACACAGTAATATGAACAGATCCAAAGCCCAGATCAGTAATAGCCTCTCAAATCAGTATAGCGTCTCTAAAACTTAAAGACAT